AGACCACTGTATCCAAACACAATCAGAGCTTGACCCACTGCAAGTCACCAGAGCCCCTGCAGCATCTCCTCCGGGAAGGCCTTGGGCAGTCAGGGCTGGTCCCTGCTGGCGCTTGGTCCCTCACCCTTTGGCTATACAGGGGATGATCAGCACCTCAGTGGTTCTTCCCAAGCTCACCCCGTGCCTTGGGATGACGTTCTGCCTCCCTGGAGCCTGGCAGTGGTTCCTGACAGCGCCTCCTTCCCTTGCAGCTTCAAGCAGCAGAACCTGGAGCAGCGGCAGTCGGATGTGGAGTATGAACTGCGTTGCCTTCTCAACAAGCCGGGTAGAGCATCGCGCTGCATGCGGTTGCCTCCGTTTTCCCCCTGGGCTTCAGCTCCCCCCCATCTTGGCAGGTCTTGGGCAGGGAGAGATGGATCTGTAGTGCAGTCGGCTGGCTTTAGGGCTGCATGCCCCAGCCCTGCGCAGGGACCTGCTCCTGTTGTCCCTAGTGGGTGGCACCCACAGGGCTCTCCCCACATGGCACCGCAGGCCCACAGCCTGGCAGGGTAGCAGGGGATCATGCTAGGGGGTCTCTGTCCCAAAAGCTCTGGGTTTCAGGGCTGCTTCAGCCATTTAACTGCCTGTCTTTCCTTGGGATTTGGCCGGGTAGAGAAGGACTGGACGGAGGAGGACCGAGGGAGGGAGAAGGTGCTGATGAAAGAGCTGGTGACCATCATTGAGCAGAGAAACGCCATCGTAAACTGCCTGGACGAGGACCGGCAGAGGTGAGCGAGGAGCGGGGCGGGCTGGGGGAGAGGGGAAAAGTGTGGCCAGTCTGACTCGGCATGTCCCAGGGTGTTCCTGTTGCTGATGTCTTTCCCAGGCTTCCCGATCCTTGTCTTTTTGAATGCCCTATGTGGGGAAGGCAGGGCAGTACGTGCAGCACGTGGAATTTACCCTGCAGATAGTGAATGCTCACAGGAGAGTGTGATGGATCTGCCCCTCCGCAGCTTCGAAGCAGGAGGTTCTCTAGCCTGAAACAAGACTGCAGGGCTGAATTGCTGACTGTTTTCTCTCTCTCTTCCAGAGAAGAGGAGGAGGATAAAATGTTGGAAGCCATGATTAAAAGGAAAGGTAAGAAACAATCAGGATGATTTTTTGGCATGATGTTTTCACTGCCGACCCCAGCGAGGGGCAGCAGGAGCCGTAGATGGAATGGTGTGCAGGAGGGGAGGTGGGATGTGTTCTGTGAGGACTCTGGAGCCTTTCCCATTAAAGTCTGGGGCATGGTTGTGCTGCGCACCCCTGTTAGCACAGGAAGAAGTGTGCGTTCAGCGGACAGGGCTTCGATTCGCGACTCTCGCCCTTGCCCTTGGTGTACAACCATCAGCATCCCGCAGTAACACCCTCCCTTTGCGACCCCAGAATTTCACAAGGACATGGAGACCGAGAGCAAGAAGAAAGGCAAATTCAAGCCCATGAAGGTGCTTAAGCTGCTGGGCAACAAGCATGACTCCAAGAGCAAGTCGCCCAAGGAGAAAAGCTAGGGCAGGATAATGCCGGCAGTGGGAGGGATGTGCTGCCCTACTGCCCTGGCCTCCCCGCAGCTGGCTGGGACACCCACCAGGAACAGGGGCTTGTCTCTCTCTGCTCCCCTCGCCTCTCCCCCCATTCCCTCCCTGGCTACCGGACGGAGCTGCCACCCCAGGGAGACGCCAGCCCTCTGCCCAGAGTGGGGGAGTCTGACCAAAGCGCTGCCCTTCCCGAGGCTGCGGGGGAGCCTGACCATCCCCTCCGGGAAGCCTTGCTAAGGAGGTGGGGGGAAGATGGGTTCGCTTTTCAGATACGTTACCCCATTGTGTGTTCTTATTTACTGAGAAGCAAGCCAAGGAGATCGGTGTTTGTGGGAAAACTTGCACTAACCGTCACCCCGTCCCCTCTCCCGCTCTAACTGTGACACTTCCACGTGCCTCCAACCTCTGCCAGGAGGGGACTGGGCCTGCCTGTCCCTCCCCGCCTGCCCCCGCTTGTCCCCTTCCCATCCATTTTTTAACTTCAGGAGAAAACGCTGGCATTAGGATCAGGATTCTTTGGGTTTTACTGGCCTAAACTAAAATGTTAAGAAAACACTCTCACATCACAAGGCTCTAGAGCCGCAGCCAAAAAAATAACTGGTGCCCTATTTATTTTGAGCTGCCCCCTCCCTCGAGCATCAGGGCTGGGTGGGCTCTGTCACGGGACCGAGAGGGCCCAAGGGGACGGCATACGGCTGCGAGGAGGTCGCTCGCGCACCCTACTCAGGACATCCTGCCCCCTCCCTGCTGCTGAACACCCCTGACTCTGCTGCCTTTCGGGGGGGAGGGAGGAACATTCCTTTTCCAGGCAAGGGCGGAAAAGCTCAAGACTGACTCAGTGCCGGCAAGAGGCACTGGACTTGTGCCCCTGCTCACCAGTGCCACCCTGGAGCGGCTGGGGAGGGCGGCACGGTCACAACTGACCTTTACCCAGCTCCGTCTGCGTGTACTTTACAAGCGTGCAGGGTTTGGCTGGTTGTTTTTTTACACCTCCTTTACTAGATGAATTCAAACCCACCCTAAAACTCCTCAACCCCCTTATTTTATTTGTCATGTGTGTGCGTGCGTGTACAATGGAGGAGGGAATGGGGGTGGGGGACGTTCTTCCAACCATCCCTCCTTCTGTTTGTGTTTCCTGCCTTCTCTTCCAAGGCGAGGAGTTATTTATTGACTTGTTGGCTCGGTCTGAATTAGGAGTTTCACAGGTGTTTGGTTGGTCAGCTGTTCCTCATGCCTTCTCATTAGACAGAACCAGCCCCGGGCAAACTGCTGCAGCCCCTTCTAAAACCCCACAGGCTTTAGCCGAAACGCTCTCGGAGCAGTGCCTTGCAAGGTGACTGGCGTAGCATTCTGGAAAGGCATCCTCCTTTCCCAAAATCCGAGGGACCCGAGCCCCTCCTCGATCCCAGCGTGGCCCCCGTGGCTGAGAGGGGGCAAGCTCAGCCCCAGGCTGCTGAGGAGCAGTGGAAGGGGAGATCCCAAAGCACAATTCTTCTCCAAGGAGAAACGAATCCGCTTCAAAGCCTGCTCTCACAGCACTGTTGCCAGAGGCCATCGGGATTGCAGCAGCCTGACACCCCTTGGCCCCATGCCCCATCAGGAGTCCGTTTTGTAATTTATACTTTACTAACTCCGTGACTTCCATCCACCTCAACAGAAATAAAACATTGGATTAAAAAGCCGATGGCGGCTTGGATTTCCGATTCCTTTGTGCACGCCTGCTGGGGACAGGGCACGCTGCCTGGCTTTGGGGGAATGGCAGACGAGTATTGCTAAGAAAGGCGATGGTGGGATCTTAAGGAAGTTGGAAGTTGGATTTTATGCTGGGATTTACTCAGGAATAGTGGGGCATCGTGCTTCAGCCTGCTGGAGCACCTCTCCTGTGATGAAAGGCTGGGAGAATTGTGCTTGTTCAGCCTGGAGGAGGCTCCAGGGAGACCTTACAGCACCTTCCAGTGCCTGAAGGGGCTACAAGGAAGCTGGGGGGGACTTTTTACAAGGGTCTGTAGTGACAGGACAAGGGGTAACGGGTTTAAATTGAAAGTGGGGAGATTTAGATTGGATGTCAGGAAGAAGTTCTTCCCAGAGAGGTGATGCGGCACTGGAACAGGTTGCCCAGAGAAGCTGTGGATGCCCCATCCCTGGAAGTGTTCAACGCCAGGCTGGATGTGGCTTGGAGCAGCCTGGTCTGGTGGAAGGTGTCCCTGCCCATGGCAGGGGGGGTGGAACTGGATGGTCTTTTCCTACCCAAACCATTCTGTGATTCTATGGATCTGTGATTCTGCTGGGCGTACGTACGAGGTGAACAAACAGCCGTTGCCAGGCTCTGCGGGAGCCGGACGGCTGTTCTGCATACGCTTTCAGGAACCAAAAAATCCCGGCAAGCCAGCACCGAAGCGTGGCACGTGCTGGGCTGAAATCCCCTCTCAGCGCAGCAGCTGTGTTCCCGAGTGGCTGCCCAGCAGTTTGCTGAGGCACACGGTCGCGGCCGGGAGGGCTGGTGTTTGCGCAAGAGCACGCGGCTGCGTCTTCCTCCCCGCCGACTGCCAGCGCAGCCGTTCCCAGAGTCGGGCTTGGGGGGACGGGAGCGGGTCGTAGATGTGGGTGGCAACATGCGTGCCAGCGTCGTGCTGTCACGAGAAGCCACCTCCGGGTGGATGGCCAGGAGGGATGGTTCTGGTGTCGGATGCTGCACTCGTAGGCAGAAGGAGGCTCTGCTTTGTCACGTTTTGGGAGCCACTGCCATGTGTTTTCACCTCTTTAATATTGTTGAGCAAGAAGGGATCCAGGGTGTGGGTAGGATTTTACAACAGCTTGCTTCTGTTACTGCTTATGTACAAACTGCTCCTGCCTTCTGGCTCCAGGCAACAGGTGGGGCTGCCCCTTTTTTGGGCAAAGACCAGCTCTTGAGACTCTGATGCCAAGAGTCTGGGAAGAAGAAGTGGGAAAGAAATTGTACTAGTGTTTTTCCCTCCGCCTAGTTGTGGGGATCGGATTTGTCCTCACCAGGGAAATCTTTCACCGTGGTCTCTCTCATCTCCTCGCTTCTCTTCTTGTCAATGACCTCCATCTCACGCATTTTCTGTGAAGCACAAAGGGGAATGGCTGAGCGGGGACAACGCCAGCAGCTTTTTTTTTTTCTTCCTTTGCCAACCTCAGGATGAAAGGTTTTGTTTCCCTGATTAAGTTACACACAGACATGGAAAAAAAAAAAGGCTGAAAACCTCTATCCCCCATTCCCCAGATTCACGCCTGTCCTGTGCCACGAGGGAACGCTCAGCTCTCTGCCCCTTCCCACGCAGGTACTGGAGGGAGACTGCTTTAAGGTCTCCAACACTGGGGGGTTCCCTCCACGCGCTGCACAGTCAGCGTCACCAGGGCCCTCGCCTACCTGTGAGATTTCAGTGAGGACAATCCCTCGATACTTCTTGCCCTGTCCTAGCGCTTCCATCTCTGCCAGGAACTCCTTCCTTTCCCGAACTTCATTCACCACTGACAGATGAGAGAAAAACACTGTGGAAACAGGATTCGGTCGAAAGGCAAGAAGCAGCGTTTCTGTCTAGATCTGAACCCCCAGCTCCCTAGCTCTGCTTGAACAGTGGTCCTGCTGGGGGCAGGGAAGGGAAGGGTGATGTCTGTCCTAACACTCGTCTTGCGCATGTCATCAAAACATCTCGCTGGTCCCTTACACAATGGGAAGTGTCTCCCCAGCCCATCTTGCAGGAGCGGTAACTTTCTCGTTTTCTCTGTACATACAATCCCCTCCTGCTTGTGGGCAACTTAACCGGTCTGTGGATGGAGACAGAACCTGCTTCAAGGTGTTGAGGTTCATTAATTGACATGCATCACCCAGTGACCGCAACCATCTCTGCTCCCAGGACCAGTACGGGCACGGAACGTGAGCTGCCGCTTTACAGCGGAGACCTGCAGCCAGCTCGTCCAAATCTTGCCACAGTACAAAGTACGTGGGTGTTTCACTTGTGTCAAGGACAATGCTCAGCTTGTGACAAGTCTTAGAGGACACAAAGCATGCGCGAAGCCAGACACGCTGCCTTCCCTGCAGCAGGGACCAGAGCACCTCTCCTGTACACGTTATTCCATCGTTGTCCATCTCTGAGCTGCCCTGGCCAGCAAAGGGCTGGCTGTGGTGTACAGACACCTTGGAGACTCAAGCACAGAGAGGTATCAGGCAGGGTTTTGCCATTCCAGAATACTCGATGGGCCAAAGTCCACTGCTTAAAATTCTGCTGGACATTTAAACTTTGCTAGTGTTACTGCTCCGAACCTGGAGTGAAAGAGAACAGCCCAAACAGAACAGCTTGCCAGGCTGGCAAGCGTCCTAGTCTATGCCGAGTTACACTGGCTAGAAAATGGTCCCGTGGTACTGGGGCTTCCTGCCCGGGTCACCCTGCGCATCCCTCGGGCGTTCCCCTACCAGCGGAGTTCGCTTTGTGCGGGCAGCCCAGGGTGTGCGCGAATCTGCCAGCAAACCTCTGCGGGGTAAGCTCTGCGAGGATGGCTGGATTGCAGAGTCACAGCAGCAAGTCCTTTCTCTTAGAAACTGGGCTTCGTGCCTCCGTCCGCAATGGGCTTCAGGTTACAGGCAACACGGCCTGCCACCCCAGCCCTCGGAGGGAGCTGGCTTCCCAGGCTTCCCGCCTGCCCTCCTCCGGGGTGCATAAAGACATACGTTCTTCAAAGCGGTCAGGCTCCGGTATCTCCTCTTCCTTTGTCTGAACGGGCATCGCCTTGTGCTCCACCACATCCTTCCCTGTCGCTAAGATGTTTTGGAGCCTTTGCTTCTCCTTTTCCAAATCTCCTGTGAATGCCAAGGGGGAAAATCAAGGATTAGCAGCGTGTCTCCTCAGGGAGGAGCCTGGCCACACTGCTTGCCTGCTGATGATGCTGGGGAAACCTTACGTTAACGACAGCCCATCCCCGGACTGAACTGCGCAAGCACTGCCCAGGTGTACCATGGTGAAGGGCCAGCCTGGCATCAGAGGTTCGATTCGCGTTTACGGGCTAAACGGTGACGCTGCGCTCCCTTCCTACGCAAGGACGGTGTGAATCCTGCCACCTGCACCTCCCTAGCCAGCAGGCAGGAGCCAGCGAGCGCCTACAGCAGATGTTCCCTCAGAGATCCCTTTTTAAAGCACCTTTGAAGACAGAAAGCGTGAGGACGAAGAGCAATGAAGATACCCCCCGTGGCTGCTGTGGGCACAGGGGACGGGCGTAGGGGCCGGGCAGGGACCAGGCGGCAGCGTGTACCTACTAGCGATGTTGGCCGACTTACGCCTTGCACGTGGCTTGAACTTCTCCCGGGTGTAGGCATCTCCTGCCTGGCAGACCTTGGCAGGTCGGAGGTGCGGTTTAGCTGGAAGCTTGATGGGCTGGCAGACTGGCGGGGAGAAGGCAGGCGCTGCAGGCACTGGCTCTTGGCTGGATGTGGGGTGGCACTGGAGGGGCAGGGTGTCTCCTCCTGGAGAACAAACAATACCGGTAAATCAGACAGAAGCTTGGAGGGATGTTCCCTGGCTACCACCACCAGCAGATCTGCCTGTTGATCCAGCGTAGCACCACGAGCAAGGACCCTGGGCGGCACAGGTGTCTCACCCTGGCTGTGGGTATGCACTGACACGAAACAGACTCTGCTTCGAGTCACGCCATCGCGTCTTCGTCCCTGGGCGACCCTCAGGGACGCCTCGCCCCGTACGTCACTGCGTGTCGGCAGCAGCCGTGCTGCTGGTTTAAGGC